GCTTCTTCCTGCTTTCCCTTTCGCCTCCCTGCATTGTGCCTACATATGCAAATTAACCGCCATCTTTGTTGGCAGTTAACTGCCATCTTAGTTGGCAGTTAATTTGCATATCGCCCTGATTAGCCAATGAAAAGGGTAGCGGTCGTACGCCAATTACCATGTTTCTCTTTTATTAGTGTAGATTGTATTATTTTCCATACAAATGACTGTAAAACTGCTTTTGCCCAACCCTGTGTAGGGTTGGTCAGTCTCCTAGGTTTATATAGAGTATTAAACATGTTAATTCATGTAAAGCACTTGGCTACAAAGTCACTGCTTAGTAAATCTGTTAAATCCTAAAAGTGAAAAAAAAAAAAGATCCCACTGTTACAACCTTACCCAATGTCAATATCTCAGTTGAAATCACCGTGAGGGAATTCGGTCTGTATTTTGAACTAAGCAAACTTCTGAATAGTGGATTAAATGCAAGAGAAAGGACATTCGGCCTCTAATGTAGTGCTTATTATGTGCCAGTCTCTGTTCTTAGCACCTTTAACACTAACAATCCTATGACAACTGCATTAGGTATATTTTATTGATGTCTCCATTTCACTGATGAGGAAACTGAGGCAGGAAGATGAAGGAACTTCTTAAAGGAGTCCATTCGGAAATATTAGCTAGGATTTGTCTAAGTCAGGAGTTGTGCTAGGCACCAGGGACACTAAATCGTGGTTCATCCTTTTTGAGCACCTCCTGTACCTTAGGCTTGGTGTCAGGTGCTTTACATAATTTCATTTAAGCCTCACAGTCACCTTGCTAGTTAGGTATCCTTAATCCCATTTGATTATTATGGAAATGAAATTTGATAATTTGGCTGGGTTCAGTTGCAATAAAACGCACCAGCTGGTGGGAGGTGCATCCCTTATTACCATTCAAATCCAGCCTCCTTCCCAGGAAATCCTACGGGACCCCGCCCCTCAGCCAGGTCTGGCCCCGCCCACCCCCTCTACGCCTGCGCGCTCCTCGCGCCGGC